GCCTCGGCCTCCCAAAGTGCTGGGATTACAGGCTTGAGCCACCGCGCCCGGCAAAACAGCAGTTCTTAATTTTAAAGAACCCAATTAATCAAATTGTGTTTAGATGTTGCTTTTTGTCATCTGCTTAAATATTTTCACACCCAATCGTTGTGTAAACAGTGACTTATGTTTTCTCCCAGATGCTTTATTGTTTCATCTTTCACATTAAGTTTATGGTGCATTTTGCATTAATTTTGGAAAACAGTGTGAGGAAGAGGCTTAAGGTTCATATATTTTCCCATATGGGAGCCCCATTGCCCCCGGCTATTGATAGAAAAGACCCGGCTTTCCCTGCTGAACTACAGTGCCACCTTTGATGTCAGTCAAGTGCCTATACATGTGTAGGTGCATTTCCGGACTCTTTCAGTTCCTTTGGCTATTTGTCTATCCTTAACCAATGCCTTAATTACTGGGCTTTAGAGTAACTCTTGATATCTAGTAGTGTAAGTCCCCCAACTTTGTTCTACCTCAAGATTGTCTATTCTAGGTGCTTTGCTTTTCTATATAGATCCTAGAAATAGCTTGTCAATTTCCACAAAATGAAATAAAATGAGATGAAAACCAGCTGCCATTTCCATTGGGATTTCATTGAATCTACAGATCAATTTAGGTAACTTTGTTCGCTTTTAGTAACTGTGCTTAGAACAATACTGGTCATGTACTGTAATCCCAGCACTTTGGGAGGCCGAGGTGGGCAGATCACTTGTAGGCAGCAGTTCAAGACCAGCCTGGCCAATGTGGTGAAACTCTGTCTCTACTAAAAATGCAAAAATTAGGTGGGTGTGGTGGCACCTGTAAACCCAGCTTCTTGGCAGGCTGAGGTGGGAGAATTGCTTGAACCTGGGAGTTGGAGGTCGCAGTGAGCCGAGATGCGTGCCACTGCACTCCGGCCTGGGTGACAGAGCGAGACTCCATTTCAAAGGAAAAAGAAAAAAGAAAAGTTGACAACATATTAAATTTTTTGCCCTGAATCATTTCAGAATAAGTTGCCAAATGATGCCTCATCACCCCCCGAATTTCAGAGTGTATTTCTTACAAAAAAGGATGAAATACAGCTATGACAATCACAATCAGGTAATTAGTACTGATGCACAGCTACCATATAATCCTCGGGCTTTATTCAGAAATCACCAGTCTTCCCCGTAATGTTCTCTACAGCAAGGGGATCCAGTTCAGAATCACTCATCATTCTTTTTTTTTCTAGTCTGATCTGTCTCCTGCAGTCCTCAGCCTTTCTTTGACTTTCCTGTCCTTGATACATCTGAGGATGACAGGCGAGCTATTTTTGTCGGATGTGCCTCAGTTTCGATTTGTCTGACGCTTGCTCATGATTAGATTCAGGCCATGCATTTTTGGCAGGAATAGCACAGAAGCGAAGCGGGGTTTTTCTCATTGCATCCTGTTTGGCGCCTCACAATTTTGATTTGTTCGTTACTGATGCTGTTCACTTTCATTGCTTGAGCAAGATGGTTGCTGCCAAGGTTTTCCAATGTGAACTCAGTACTTACCCCTGTGTAGTGAATATCATGTGGTCAAGTACTTTGAAACTATGTGAATATCCCATTCCTCATCAAACTTTCAATTTATTTATTCATTGATTTGTATTAGTATGGACTCGAGGGTTCTTAGTTTATTCAATGGGCTTTAATCTGTTTCTTTCATAATTTATTGTGATACTCAAATTTCCCTCAATTTGACCAGTGGACTCCCCTTTAAGCAAACTTTTGTAGCTGGGCACTGTGACTCACACCTGTAATCCCAGCATTTTGGGAGGCCAAGGCAGAGGATTACTTGAGCCCAGGAGTTCAAAACCAGCCTAGCCACCATGGCAAGACCCCCAAGCTCTTTTTTTTTTTTTTTTTTTTTGAGGCAGAGTATTGCTCTGTTGCCCAGGTTGGAGTACAGTGGTGCAATCTTGGCTCACTGAAACCTCCACCCCTGGGTTCAAGCAATTCTCCTGCCTCAGCCTCCCTAGTACCTGGAATTACAGGTGTGTGCCACCATGCCCAGCTAATTTTTGTATTTTTGGTAGAGATGGGGTTTTATCACATTGGTCAGGCTGGTCTCAAACTCCTGACCTCAGATGATCCACCTGCCTCAGCCCCCCAAAGTGCTAGGATTGCAGGTGTGAGCTACCATGCCAGCCCCCCCGAAGCTCTTAAAAAAAAAAGCACACTTTTTTGTCCCTTTGACATTTGACATGTCAAATGTCATCATTCAAATGTCTCAGGTTCATCCTGGACTTTCCCTGCTCAAGTCCTGGAATCCCCATTTCTCCAAGGAGCCTTGTTCCTTTTAGCGGAAAATGGTATTCAGAAGCTAAGATCCTGGTGTCAGCTGTGTTCACTACAATTGGCGTATCTCTGCTTCTCCAACCTCCAGTCTCCTCTGGTGGTCGAGAATCTCAAGTTCTAGGTTCTCATAGGCCCCAATGACCTTGACTTTAGAAGGAGAAAGATCCTCTCTCCTTCGGTGTTCCCTTAACCCACTTAAATAAAGGACTCTGGCCAGGCACGGTGGCTCACGCCTGTAATCCCAGCACTTTGGGAGGTTGAGGAGGGTGGATCATGAGGTCAGAAGTTTGAGACCAGCCTGGCCAATATGGTGAAACCCTGTCTCTACTAAAAATATAAAAAATTAGCCGGTCTGGTGCAGTGGCTCATGCCTGTAATCCCAGCACTTTGGGAGGCCGAGGCGGGTGGATCACGAGGTCAAGAGATCAAGACCATCATCCTGGCCAACCCAGTGAAATCCCGTCTCTACTAAAAATACAAAAAAATTAGCTGGGCATGGTGGCTCACACCTGTGGTCCCAGCTACTGGGGCGGCTGAGGCAGGAGAATTGCTTGAACCTGGGAGGCGGAGGTTGCAGTGAGCCGAGGTCGCGCCACTGCACTCCAGCCTGGCGCCTGGTGACGGAGTGAGACTCTGTCTCAAAAAAAAAAAAAAAAATTAGCCAGGTGCAGTGGCATGTGTCTGCTCTCCCAGTTACTCAGGAGGCTGAGGCAGGACAATCGCTTGTACCCAGGAGGTGGAGGTTGCAGTGAGCCGAGATTGTGCCACTGCACTCCCGCCCAGGCACCAAGAATAAAACCCCATCTCACAAAAAATAAAAAAGGACCCTATTGGCCTTGCTCAGTCAAGCTGTCATCCTGGACCAATGGCTGTGGCTGGGGGCAAGGAACACTCTTAGGAGCGGAGCTTGGGTCCCAGGCCTGCCCCCATCTGAAGAGGAGGTGCTGGATGTGTCTTGAGGAATCCAGCTTCACCTAGCCACATGGAATTAGGTGCACACAGAAAAGATGAGGCTCTTTTGCCAAAAGAAAGTGAAGAGGCAAGGGACCGACAGAACAGCAGATGCCTCTCATAACGAGTAGGTGTGTAGCTAGGCATTATGATAACTGCTGGAAGAAGAGACTCGGACAATGCAAGACAAGACCACAGTGGCCCTTGCTGAGCCCCAGGGTGGGGGTGGCCCTTCTTAGGACTGGCAGGCAAGCCGAGGCCTGAAGGAGAGCCTTAGTGGGGCAAGGAGGTACGGTGGGCAGTGGCTGGGGTACCCGGCTAGAGGAAACCACCGTGCAAAGGCCCTGAGGGGAAATGTGCCCAGTTCTGGAAGGAGGCTGGTGTGGCCAGGGTAGCCAGAGCATAGTGAGGTGGGCCAGCGGTGGGAGATGAGGCTACGGAGGAGGGCACGGCACAGCTGACCAGGCGGGGCATGAAGGCCTCGACAAGGATGCTGGCTTTGTGCTCAGTGAAATGCGGTGTCATGAAGGGTCTCAGGGAGGGCGTGACATGAGCTAATGTATACCTAAAAGCTCAGTGTGGCTGCTGGGGTGGGGTAAGGATTGGAGGGGCCTAGAGGGGGAGGAGAGATGGCATGATGGCATCCTAGGTACATCACAGCTTTGTCTTGTTGAAACTGTGCCCTGTAGGAGAAGTGAACTCGTGCCTGGTGAAGGTGCCAGAGAAGAGAGAGGATGGCCACAACATGGCTCTGGTACGCCTCCTGCCCAACCCCCAGCTGACTGTCCTGGGATACCCCTGTCCTGCCTACCCCGACCCCCAGCCCTGCAGCCTCAGCATTCCCCATGCTTCAGCCTGGCTCTCCTTTTCTCCATAACGTTCATTGCCATTGATGTGCCATATGCTTTGTTTATTCATTTTATTTCTTGTCTGTCTCCCGAAAAAGGACGTATCTTCCATTACTTGGGCATTTTTGTCTGTTATTCACAGCTGTAACTTCAGTGTCTAGAGCAGTGCCTGGCACATAATAGATGCTCAATAAAAGATTTTTAAACGAACGAATAGTGGGAGGGGCTCTGAAAGGGGCAGAAAGTCTAGAAGTGGCCTTTTATTCAGGACAGTCAGGCCCAACCCAGGTCTGGGCCATGAGGCAGGCTCAGGAGGCGTGAGAAGGCCAGGTCAGCAGAGGAGGCACACTTGCATCTGCAGGACTTGGCAAGGGCCAGTGGGGAAGACTGGAGGAGCCAGTGGACGTGAGTGAGACTCAGGGAGTGTAGACCAGGCTGATGGGTGGACAGAATGTGGAGGAGGTGGAGGATCTATTCAGGCCTAGACATGCAGGAGTCAGGCCCTGACTCCAGGCTGCTTCAGGGCCAAGCTTCAGTACCCGGGGCAGTACTGGGCGGGGATGGGGAGAGGAGGCCGGACTAAGGAGGCCTTGCATTCAGGGAGCGTTTATCCTCATCCCATTGCATCCTTCTAATTGTCCACGGTTTTCCTGCCACGATGGCCTTCTTCTGTTCCTCATACACACCATACTCATTCCTGCCCCGGGGCTTTTACATATGTTTCCTCTGCCAGGAAAGTTCTATAAAATGGGCACAACAAAGCTGAAGTGAGGTCCATACCAGGAGATATGCACAGCCTTCTGAGTAGCTGGGACTACAGGTGCGTGCCATCATGCCTGGCTAATTTTTGTATTTTTCATAGATACAGGGTTTCATCATGTTGGTCAGGCTGGTCTCAAACTCCTGACCTCAGGTGATCTGCCCTCCTCGGCCTCCCAAAGTGCTGGGATTACAGGCGTAAGCCACCATGCCTAGCTATAAAAATTTTTAAAGTAAAAAAAAGTAGATGGGCATGGTAGCATGCACCTGTATTCCTAGCTACTCAGAAGGCTGAGACAGAAGGATTGCTTGAATCCAGGAATTTGAGATTGCAGTAAGCTGTGATTGCATCACTGTATTCCAGCCTGAGTGCCAGGGGCATTAGGATCAGAGAGGCCTGATTTCTCATGATTCTGAAGTTGACTGGGCTTAGCTGGGTGGTTCTTCTGCTCCACACAGTGTAGACTGAGATCACTCAGTGGGACTGGAGCATTTGAGATGACCCCCTCATCTTCCAGGGCCTCTCTCCACATGGTCTGTCATCATTGGGTGGTCTAGCCTGGGCTTCCTTGAAGAACACTGTCTGGGTTTCAGAGGGAAGAAGTGGAAGCTTCCAGTTTTCTTAAGTGCTAATCCAGAAACTGACCGAGTATCATGTCCACATTATTCTACTGGTCAAAGCAAGTTGTAAAATGAACGAATATTCAAGAGGAATCTGTCCTTTGGATAGGGGGAGCAGAAAATAACTTGCAGCCATTTTCAATGTGCCACCCTCCCTGCCAGATTCACTCATCTTTTCCCCTTTACTAGATGAAGTTAGTTTTCTTAGGTCATGGTCATTGTTTCTTTTCCTTCTCCCTTAAGATGATGAGAAAGGAGAGATTCGTTGGATATTGGTTAATGTATTCTCTCTCTCAGGTAGCAGATTGCCTCAATTTGACTTGTATGTACTGGGAGGCCCTTACGAAGTGTTACTAATGGTGCAATTTCAGGTTGAAGGGTTGGGGCCCTTTCTGTCCTCTCCTTAGTTGATCGGAGAAGGGGGAGTATGTTGCAGTCCCTCCTATCTGGTTCTCTTCCAAATGCCAGCATTCAGGATTAACTCCTCCAGCCCCTCTATTTTCTCCAATCTTGACCCCACCCCAAGTTCCCCTTGTGGGAACCTGTCATTTCTCTTGTGCCAATGCTGGCTTGCCTGTGGGTGTCGGGTGGTTACTAGCGCTGTATGGACAGCCTGAGGACCGGGCTCAGCGGGAATCTCACTGTCACTCTGAGGTTTTGCGCTCTGCCATCCCCTAGGTTGAGAATGTCAGCAACCTTCAGAAGAGCCAGGATCTGCTGGAGGCAGAAGGAGGCAAGAAGACCATGATGAAGAAGATGATGGTGGGGAGCCACAGGCGGGTCTGTGGATTGGGGTGGGGGGGCAGGATTCCTGCGTCCACCTACTGATGAGACTGCAGGGGTGGGAGGTTGAGGTGGGAGGAGGGGGGACCCCGGGAATTGAGTCTCAGCTCCACCTCAAACTGCCCTCCACCTACAGGGAGGGAGCTCGGGCAAGTTCCAAGCCTTACTCTTCTCATCTCACAGATGGGTGTGATAATACCTGTGTCATTGGCTTGTTGGGAGGACACAACCTCATGCTTTAGTCTACAGTAAAGCCTTGCACACCCTGAAGCAGTTCTCATGGCTTAATACTTTCCCCAGAAATTCCTTCTGGTGGGCGACTTTAGACAGTTCCTTTATCATGTTGCTAAATACAGTCACTTCTCAGTTATCCACCAGAATAGACTGGGCAGGAATAACCACTGAGGCTTCCAAATTACATCTGTGTTTGTGTACCTTACACAGCCAACCAAAAACGTCCTTGCTCTCCATACCTTCATCTAACTAACATTAATCGAGCATCTGCTGTGTGTAGGTGCTAGATCGAAAGTGAGAAGCAATTAGAAGGACATATTTTATTTTGAGACAGGGTCATGCTCTGTCGCCCAGGCTGGAGTGCAGTGGTGCCATCATGGCTCACTGTGGCATCAACCTCACGAGATTCTCCCCCCTCAGCCCCTCGAGAGCTGGGACCACAGATGTGCGCCACCACATCCAATTAATTTTTTTACCTTAAAGAAATGGCTATTTGGCCAGGTGTGGTGGTTCATGCCTGTAATCTTAGCACTTTGGGAGGCCAAGAGTTCAACATGCATGGTGGCTCATGTCTGTGATCTCAGCGCTCTGGGAGGCCGAGGTGGGCAGATCATTTGAGGTCAGGAGTTTGAGACCAGCCTGACCAAAATGGTGAAAGCCCGTCTCTGTGCTAGAATTGTAGGTGTGCGTATCACCTGGCATGGGCTTCCCTTCTGAGTGTGCTAGCTACTCAGGAGGCTGAGGCAGGAGAATCGCTTGAGCAGGGAGGCAGAGGTTGCGGTGAGCCGAGATCGTGCCACTGCACTCCAACCTGGGTGACAGAGCAAGACTTCATCTCAAAACAAACAAACAAACAAACAAAAAAATAAGTTCAAGACAAACCTGGCCAATGTAACAAGGCCCCATCTCTAAAAAGGAAAAAAAAAAATTTAAGGGAGTTCAGCTGGGCAGTTTTCAAGGGCCACGTGTGGTGGGTTTTGCTTTGGGCCAGTTCCATGGTTTGAATGTGCTTCCTAGAGGCCGGGCGCGGTGGCTCATGTCTTTAATTCCAGCATTGTGGGAGGCCAAGGCAGGAGGTTGGTTTGAACTCAGGAGTTTGAGACCAGCCTGGGCAACACAGCAAAACTCTGTCTCTACAAAAAATAGAAACACTTAGCCAAGTGTGGCGGCACGAGCCTGTAGACCCAGTTACTTGGGAAGCTGAGGCGGGAGGAGCTGAGGGGCTGCTGTGACCTGCTCCTTGTAAGGGGGCAGCGTTGGCCCTGGAGGCCTGCAGTAGCCCTGTCCTCATTGGCCCCTCTGTGGCCCCCTGTCCAGAGGCAGATCCAGGAGGAGCCACTGGATTCACTGTCAAGCTCCGTCCGCCGGCAGGCCATGGAGATCCTGACCCAGCTGAGGTGCCCACGGCCTTCTCCCTGTCCCCATAGCCCCTCTCCCCACTTCCTCCACTCTGCCTCCCTCATCTCTCCACTCTACCTTCCCCCAGCCCCTGTGCCTTTTCCACTCCCCTTGCCCAGTGCCTGCGCTCCTCAGCCCAGCCCGGTCCTCAGCCACAGGGCCCCTCCCTCACTCCATGCCTTTGCTTTCTGCCTCTTCCCCAGCCACACTCAGCCCACCCTGGGCGTGCGGGAGAGGTTGGAGCTGGTGAACACGTGTGTGCAGAGCGTGTTCTCCCTGCCCTCCGTGCAGGCCATGCAGGAGAAGGATGAGGCCAAGGCTGAGACCATCCAGGTGAGGCGGGGCCTTCCCAGTGGGGCCCCAGGGCCAGGTCACGTTCTGGGAGGAGATACGCAGCTGTGCCCTTCAGCTCATTGGTCTGTGGCCGTGGGCAATTCAACTCACTTCTGTTGGTCTGAGTACTTGATAAATGGTGGATGGATGAATCATTCAAATAAAGACACCCCATCCTGTCCACTTCTGGGCCCTGCCCTCTGGGAGGGATGTGGGCAGATGTTGGCATGGCCAGGGGAAGTGGCCAGGCTTGGGGGGGGCAGGGCTGAGGCCTAGGCTATAATGGAGACAGGCTAGGGGACCGGGGGGTGAGACCTGGAGAAGCAGAACCTCACGGGGCTCATGTGAGCATCTTCAAACCTCTCCAGGCATTCCTGGGAGGATGGGCGGAGGTGACCCTCAGGGTAGGATGAGGGGGAGCGAGGGTCAGTGGGGAAGGTGAAGGCAAAGGGGTTTCAGCCCAGGGTGCGGCACATTTGTTCATCACTTCATTTACAAATGTTAACTCAGTCCCTACTCCATGCTGAACTCAGCACAGGAGCCTTACAGCCGAGGTGACTGTTGGGGAGATGGATGGTATCAAATAAGTAAATACGAAGAAATACAAAATGACACCAATGGTAAATGGTGCAAGCCAGAAGTATTCGGTGTTATAAAGAGCCTGCAATGCTGGTGGTGTGGGGGGATGGCCTAGATGGGGGTCAGGGGTTGTGATTGTGAAGCTGAGAAGCGTGGCAGAAGGAAGAGCATTCCCAGATGCAGAAGGATGACAAACTGGCAGTGTGGCTGGAGCTTAGAGGGTGAGGCAAGAGTTCTGGAAAGTGAGGCTGGAGAGCCAGGGTCCCCGAGGTGGTGCCCTTGGAGAAGACGGAGGAGCTGGTGGATGAAAAGAGCAAGCAGCCTTCTTGCAGTACCAGGCTTTGCCAGCAGAGGTCAGTGCTGCACAGTAATTCGCAGAGATGGGCAGGAAGGAGGAGGTAGGTGATGAGCCAGGCTTTCTTGGTGGTTGTGGTATAACCCTAAGGACCACTGGCTTCAGGGTGTGTGCAGACTCAGGAAGTCTGGACAGTAACAACGTAGGAAGCACACTTGACCTGGCAGGAGGCGGGGAGGCAAAAAAGGATCTTCTGAGTAACTGAAAATCACTGCCCAGCCTTGTGCATGTGTAATGCCCGTACCCATAAGACAATTCCAGGACAGTGGTGTGTCTAAGGGATGAGAAATGGGAATGGGAGTGATGGCTCCCTTAAGGGGCAACTTGGAAAACTGACTTGGGTCTAGGAGAAGCAATTCAAATACAAATCAGAGCACTTTCCCAGGGATGACGAGAGTAGGATCAGCCCTTTCATTCTTCCATCTCTTGCAGTTCTACAGCGTTTGCCCATCCATCCTCTCATTTGCTCCTCATGACTTGAAACTTCTAAGTGTCCCTGTCCCTTCATTTGTAAAATGAATTTGTGGACAAGGTGATATGGTTGTGCAAATCAGCAGGTAGCCACCTGGTCCATGGTAGATCCTCAGTAGATGCTGGATCTCTGCTTCTTCCCTATTTAAGGTAGAAAGTGCAGAGACAACAATTAGCAATTTGTTGATAAGGAAGCTATAACCCATGAGGGGAAGTGATCTGCCCAATATTACACATCAAGTTAGTCTCAGAGGTGGAACCAGAACTCAGCTCTCGTGGGTCCAAACTCCCCTACCTCCCTGGACGCACACCAGGGGCTGCCAGGGCCTGGCATCTACTTCAGAGGTGCCCTAGTGGCTTGATGCTCCTCTTGTCCACAGACTCTTTACCATCAGACCCTGGAGGCCCTGCAGACGCTGCTCAAAGCCCTCTTTGCTGAGGACCCCACTCCTGCTGGACTGAAGAGCATCTTGGAGGTGTGGAGATGGGAGGGGGAAGGAAGGGAGGGGAGAAAGGGTGGAGGGAAGAGAGACACTGGCTGGGAGCAGTGGAGGTCAGACCCAGGAGTGATTTGGCTTCAGGATATTATCTTATGGGAGCGTTCTGCCCCGCCTCTGTCTCACAGGCCCTGTCCCAGACTCCTGCCTCTCCACTCTCTCCCTATGCCCCCACTCTCTAAATGGCTGCCGCATGGTTATAGCTGCCCCCATATCTGTGCTCTCCCCATTCTTGTCCCTGCATCTTTCTTCT